TAGATATATATATATAATATAAGTATATAGTATATAGATATGGATATATAGAAGTTGCTTGAGTTATTTTCAATAATTTGTGGACTGAAAATATGGATAAGGATAAGGCTCGATAAGGATAAGATTTTCATATTTCTAATGAGTAACTTTCCAAGAGGTGCTATAAGAAAAGAGCAAGCACAATCGATAAATCTATGTCAGTCTCTACATAAAAAATAGAATAGAGTAGAATCCCGATAATTCGAAAGTGCAAGAGATAATTTTTTTTTCCATTTACACATTTCAAGGCGATAGAATTTTTTTCGATTTATCGCGAATTTCGATTTAGCGGGTTACAAATTATCGAGACTCGACTGTATTATATTGCATTTATATAGACAGAAATTTATATTGAAGAAATTATATAGACAGTGAATATATAGTCTTTGTGAAACATAAAGCTCTTCATATCGAAACATTGTTCTAGAACAATATCTATAGAGTAGACAACTACTACTCTACTTTATATCAGACTTTAAACTGCTGCCTTATGCTTAGCTGTCTAAAAATCTAGTGCTAACTAAACTTTATGAGGCTTAGTAGTATCAGAAGGAAACTCCCTCTATGAGCAGAGTCCAATTACTTTGAGGCATATGCAGGCTACATAAAGTGAAACACCTAATTGAAGGCTAATCAGAGGCGAGCGTTTCGCTCGCTTTTTACCTTTTTTTGGGCAAGCAAAACGAGAGAGAGAGAGAGAGAGAGAGAGAAAGGGAGAGAGGAAGCTAAGCCAACTAAGCCAATATCCAGTGGGCAATGTAGCACGCAGCGATTATCCGGCAGTTCATCGAAAAATATTACTTCCTTAACACGAAACTTTTTCCATTTTCATTTTGCACGCCGGACCATAAAAAATATGGAAAAAGGGCGGCCCAAGAAAATGGCGGCTGCTGCTGCTGCAGGCGCCGTGTCTAACTATGTAACATGTATGTATGTATGTGTGTGTGTGTAGGGGATTTGGTTTGTTTTGCGGATTTCTGGCGATTTTCGGAACATTTTTTTTTTTCTTTTTTTTTTTGGCTGCCTGCGTGTGGAGCAAGTCAAAGTCGTAGGCCTATCAAAGTTGATTATCGTGAAATATTTTGCGGGCATGAATTGAGCTGGAGATTTGTGCGGCCTGTGGCCTGTACCGGATTTAGCGCCTAAGCCGCAGGGATTTGCGACCCAGATTGGACACGCCGCAGCAGCAGCAGCAGCAGCAGGAGCAACATTGATTAACTTGATGAAAAAGTGCAGCAGAGCAAACGCATAAACGCGTTTTGGCATGCGAGCTGGAGCTGCCTCCACATGGCCAAGTCATAAAGGTGTGCGCAGCGCTTTTAATGGCCTGCAATAGAAACTGCAACTGAAGCTGGGCGCAAAGCAACGAGCATCAGTCCAAGCAGAATGGACGCAATTCCAATTGGAATTGCGGTTGGCAGCTGCACAGGCAGCCCCTACGCCACCCTAACACGCCCACCTGGCCGTGCTGGAAGTCATAAATCAAATACGTTTAATTAAACTTTTCCACGTGCCGCCCGAAGGGCACGAGGCGGGCGAAGCGGACAAAGGGGGGCGTGGCAAACTTTTGCGCGCCAACTAAGTAAAAATGCAATTAGAAGTGGCATTGGACACGTTGCCAGCGACGTGCATAATGTTTGCAGTTCCAGCCGCGAATTGTGAATCGTTAACAGACTGAGAGAGAGAGATAGAGAGAGAGAGAGAGTGAAAGCGCGCTCAAAAGTATGCTATAATTTGTGAACAGTGCACCACAAAATTAAACTAATCGAACGGAAAGCCATCGAGTTGTCTGTTTTATCAACACTCGAAATTCGATCATGGAAAATCAACAGATGAACGAGGTTAGTAAACAAACAGTTAATATTGCACTCTATTTCTGGTTAATGAAATGCTCTGAAAAGCTTTCGATTTGCTGCTCCTGATGTGTGGAGCAGTCGGTGAAATAAATTAATGAGCTATGCTGCATCAGGGAATAGAAGTTAAAATATATATTAACTTGAATATGAACAAATTCTAAATATATAAAGTAAATAAAGCAAGTTTTCAATATAACGAATATTAAATATTTTGAATAAATTTGGGTAGTTATGTTAAATATACTTATATGATATATGATAACAAAATGAGCATTATTTAAAGTTAATTTACGATTTTAAAAAATAGTTTGAATTTTTGTTTATATTTTTCTATCAACTATTATATTTTATTTATTTTATTTTTTAGTCTTATTTTTTTATAGTTATTGATTTT